CCAAACATGGATACGCACCGAGAAAAGAAACTGCCGACAACTCCCCCGATACGGTAAGCACCTGCACAACCGCCCCCGCCTGGGTCTTCATGTCCATTATCGAGATGCGTCCATTGACTTGAACAAGGCAAATAAACTCCAACGTCTCGCTTACAGCAACAAAACTCACGGCGTCCGCTTCCACAATAAAATTCAGCTGGCGTTTATGGGTCTCCTCCATCTCACTCGCTTGAGCGAATTCATGCGAAGGCGTCGCCATTCTTCGTTGAAGATTCCTCTCCAACTGCATGTACGATGTGGCCCTCGAGACAAGAAACTCCGGAATAATAATGCGGTGTGCGTGAACACTGCCACCAATCAGTGGGAAAAAACGAATCACCCCGTCCGCGTACATAACACCCAATTCCTTCACGTCTCGTGTCGTCATCATTCCAATGGCCTCCTTGTGAATGGAAGTGCTTTCCTCCTCCTGAAGCTTAATTTTCCTTTCGTGATGCAAGAGACGATGGAGTATGAAGGCAATTTCGTGCACACGTATTTGCTCCCCTGCCACTCCACTTGCTGTGTCTATGCCCTCAGTGATGGTGCTATACCCTCGATCTGTGGGCCGCTTGTTGGAGGTAAAAATGTGACGGTATTGAATCACTGCAGCAAGAATAAGGTCCGTAGAAGGAGGCATCGTCACAAATGTCTTTGACAGTTGTCCAGAATTTGTTCGATGAACACGAATATCACCATTATTAAGAGCGTAAAAGATAAAATGCTCCTGGATGTCAATGTGGACACAGAGAATTCGGTAGAGTGTTCCTTGACTCTTCACCAAATCATTCTCTGTGGTACACCCACCACTAAAACCCATACCACCGACCCCACCACCACTGCCACTACCTGCACCGCCAGTACTCCCACTCACCGTAGAAACCGTAGTAGCGGTGCCAATAGTAGTGTTGCCTATGGTATTTGATAAAGCTCCACCGTTTACATTCTTGCCCAGTCTTGACAACATTGCATTTCGTCGCATTTCATCAGGAGATGCCATCCGCTTCGAGAGGCATTTCGCGCTACGCTCCATTCTCTGTGCGACTGCCCGGGCGCTTACGGCATTAATAACCTCACTTACGGTGGGTAATGGTTGTTTACACGCGTCCAATTTGTGGCAATCCGTTTCCCCGCTAACAGCCTCAAGCTCGGCACTCGTCGAGAATTTCGTGCTTGCATCATCAAATACAGGAGCCATACGCACCATGGCGAACTCAAGGCTGTTTGCCTTCAGGCCAAGGCACAGTGCGCCCTTTTCGTAACTCCACAATCGACAGTCCGCAATCGACGCGCTTAAAACCCAACGATTACGTTCGCAAACAGAGACATGGCAAATTGGACTGGAATGTGCCTTTAACGCACCTAAGCCACTTACAAATACACAAACAACGTTGTTTTTAGCACCGGAAACAAACAATCGCTTCGACAACGAGTCATAGGCCACATAACGCGCTGGATAAAAACTTTTCGCATTCATCGCCGCCTCTACGGTTGAAAGAGTCGTTTGTAGGATCGCTGGAGTCCCATGTTGAGCATTAGCGTCACCCTGTGGTCGAAAGCGTTTCTTTTCCTTCTCATCCACATCAAAAAGACGATAGCCATTCTGTTGTACCGCATTCTCAACTGTGTACATATGACGAAAAGCAGAGAAAACCGCTCCAGAGACCGCGTAAAAGGACATTTTTGTAAGATTGGTCCGCAGGCTCCAAACCTTTGCGTAACCGCTGGAGTCCACCGAGATCAGCTGCCCCAAACTCTCATCCACCTTGACAGAGATGATGGGGAAGTAGTGCGGCGAAATGGGGTCGTAGAGGTCAAGGTAAGAACCTTGATTGGTGTTTCCCCAAATGGAAAGACGATTCGTGGCACTCAGCGTCACTATTATGTTCCGTAGCGGTGTCATGCAGGCATATCGAACCCCGGAATCGTCCGTCAGACGGAAGGAGCGCAGTGATGTCATGTTGCTCGCGCGACTGAGGACAACAGTCCCGTCAAGGCTAGCGGAAAGCAAAACACCCGAAGGGGTAAGTGAGAGGGACGTGACAAATTCCTCGTGAATCTTATTACGTTGTAAAATGTACGGCCCCAGCTTTTCACAAACGGTGCTCGTGGCTGCCACGCCTGTTGTCATGAAATCACCTCCAACGTTTTTTAAAGGAGGCAACTTCCGTAGAATTTCCCGAAGGTCGACTTTAAAAACAACTCCCGAGCGCGTCCCGAGGAACATGTACCAATTCATCGTCGGATCCCCCTCTGGGGAGCTCGGGCACCACTCCATGGACGTGATGGTCTCCGTGCAGGAAACCGTAATTGACTCGGGTATCACCCAAATGTGCTGCTCAATGTTAAAAAACCGAAGAAGGAGATCATTGTGGAGGGTCACATACGTCTTCGGCAACTCGGGAGACACATTGTACAATTGTAGAGCACTTTCAATCGATGGCTTAGCTCGCCGATCAATGCGACCATCGCCGGTCCCTCCTGACAAGTTATTGTCCTCGGCGGCGTTGATCCCTTTCTCGGTACCCCGGGATTTTTTCATCGTCTTTAATTGAGACTCATCCTTGTGGTTGTAAACTTCTTCATGGCGCAAAATCCGCCGATTAAACTTTCGTTGTTGTTGCAAATTCCTCGCGGAGTCGGCAGCTGCATCCCACCGTTCGGCATCCCACTCATCTGGCGCACCCTGACGATGCGAAAAAAGAACATCCGCCGAGCGCACAAGCAGTTTGCGCCAAATAAGGCCAGAATAAAAACTGTCCCAGACGGCAAAGTCATTTTGGCCCTCCACAATAATAGCCGAATGGCTGTGACGCACTTCGGTCACCGCCCCCAAGTACCCAAGTTGCCGTATCACAGATGGAAAGGGCTCCAAAACATACTCGTCAAACACTTTTGCATCGCCCTGCACATCAGCCTCCGAGTTCTCTTTCACCACCATAAGACGATGTTGAACCTCCACCCGCTCCATCAGCAGGTCAGTGAATGACGACCATGTAATAAAACCCCGCTGCTCCCTATCAAACAATTCGAAAAAACGCATCACAAGATGTCGGCATTCCTCAAGAAGAACTGAGACTTCCTGAACCATGTCATCACGGCTGTATCCGGCACTAAAAGCAAGTGTACGGGATTCTTTTCTCGCCGCATCGGCGGTACCCGTGCCAGGTAGGGAAGTGTTGTTGGCTGCTGTCAACAGCGGCGAAACTGAAGAGGAAGAAGAAAAGTTAAATGACCCCTTCGGAAACCGATCAAGATAGCAGGCACGAAAAACTGCTCGACTGAAAACGTAAACAAATACCGGCAACGGAAGTGGGAGGTTGTCCATAGACATATTAGCAGAAAGCATTAAGGAACTCGGATCGCGCTCTCGCAATCGATCGCTCAGTTCATCAAATATGTCAAACCCAAATAACTTTTGGGGTGTTGGTGGACCCCGCAGCTTCAGCATCATCATTTTCGTCCCAGACCCAAGAAAAGAGCGTGCGACCAGGTTCGTATGGCCCCCTAGTGTGTCACACTGCCTACTCGACGACGAATTCCTAAAGTCGCAAAGCTGCTGCTCCATGAGGCGATCATACAGCCAAATGCACAAGAGACGTGTCTTTTTGGACGAATATTCTTTGCTGAATAGAACGGACTCAGTCAAAAGACCATTTGTAGTAGATTCTTCTGCGATGGAGGCGACACTCTCACCCCCTAGACCTTCCTCTAGATCGCTCAGTGCGGTCGCGGACAACTTTGCAGAATCCGTTGTTCTTCGAGGGCTTGTGCGATGGATCTGCTTCTTTCTTTGCTGTCGTTCCGCCTGACGCTCGGCGTGGCGCATCTCCCTTGCCACATTCCCCGTCACTTTGTACATTTCAAGCAAATCGCTTCGACTGAAAAGCTGTGCATGGGCAAGAAATGACTTCTTTAACCGCTCAAGGTCCATGGTCGCCAAATCGAGAACAGAGAGTGCGTTCAGATCGCGGCACCTGCCCTGCCGAGGCGAAAAGGACTGAATGCGGCGCCAAATTCCACCATGAAACCTCGCCCGCTGCGTGAATGCCTCCGGCATCGCGAAGTACTCCTTCGTCAGTTCGTTTTTTGGCAGCTTAAGAAATGGAACCATATTTGGAGAGGGGCCGGAACCGCTCCCCAAAGACGCCGTGGCCCAAGTAGCTGAAAAAAGATCGAGTCCTTTACTTGTTTGAGCGACGGAGGGAAAGGAGTCGTCGCCCGCCGTCATTCCTGACGCGTCACCCGGATCCTCTCCTACATATGGCATGCGAGTTACGGCGGTAGACGACGGCATCGCGCCCGTCAGGAGGCAATCGGTACTGGTACCAGCGCCAGCAGCAGCCTCCATCGGTTCCAGCATGGAATGTGACTCCGACATCTCCTTCCTCCTCCTCCTCCAGTCTTTTTCGTTGTTGTTGTTGTTGTTTTTGAAGTGCAATGTGATCATAAAAGCACATGCATGCAGTGCAAAAAGGTTTTTAATAAGGAAGAAAAAAGACACTTTAGAAACACACAATCGACGTCAGAAAAATTCAGTAAATTTATTCCCTCCCAACATTAGCGTCTTCCTGGACCTCCTCCGCACACTCATACACACACTCACGCGGAACGTGATGAAGTTCTTTATTGCTGCATTTATAATTTGTGGTGGCTCGCACCACGTTGGCATACCGCCTAACTTTGATTGTCCCCACTGCTGTCAAAGTAAAACAAAATCCACTTGGTGCAACAACACCGTCAACACAACAAAAGCAAAACAAAACCGCTTTTACGCACACCTACAGAGGCACTCACTACTCCACTGAAGGACTTTCGTACCCCTTTTTTTTTCTATTCTTCGATAGACCCGCATCCTCCCCTCCTGCACACACACACACACACACACACACACACACAGAGAGAGAGAGAGAGAGAGAGAAAAGAAATAAGGAAACGTCGTTTCCACACTCTGCTCAAATTCATATTGTGCCAAGGTGTTGCAGGACCTTCTCCCCAACAGACACGGTACGTTGAACCTCATATGCATTCACCTGCTCACTCACTCGTGCTGGGTCGTAGAGGTAGTTCACCATCACTGTAGCACTCTCACGGCTGCCAGCGACGCTACAGTTGCCCAAGTAATTTAGTCGCCACATTGTTGCCCCGTTGGAAATGTGAAAATTTCCAACTTGGTCAAGAATGCGACCTCGTCGCTTCTCCTTGTAGAGATAATGGGCCACAGAACGCAATAACGGCAACTCAATGGCACGTGTAAGGTCACTGTCCTCCCACCACACATGATGATGATGATGGCTATTTGTGTCAACGTCAGGCATTTGAAACAGGCGGAGCAAAAACTGCATGGTAAACAAGTTTGCCACTCCTGTTGCGCCATTCGAGCACTTAGAAAGAAGATGTGCGGCAAGATCTGCGTGGATATCCGGATGACGACTCACAAATTGTAGCACGGCCTCGCGAAGCTGTGAAAACAAGCACGCCTCATCATCTTTTGAATCACCAAAGATGCGGTGATTTAAAAATTTCAAGCCCCCCGCCGAGGAACCGTCACGGCATTCAAGAACGTCCTGCTGCAGTTTGGCCACCTGTGTGGTCAGCCACGGAATGTAGCCGGGAATAGGCGAGAGCGTGGAAAACGTTGTGATCAAAGATAAACCCTCCGCACGCCGCTCCGCATTGAGTCTCGCCTCAATCTCCCGCACCACGCGCTTGATAAGCAAATTGCCAAGATTAAAGCCCCGCAGTGCAGAATTAGCGGAGTTGATGCTGTAGAATATGGCCGTGTCCACCCCATCACTACAGCTGCCATCATTACAACCACGAGTGTCATAAGTGCATGCATCTCCTAATTCTCGTTGCGGATTGTCGAGGGGCGATGGTCGTCCAAGAATGCGATCCACTGAGCCGGCGATCCCGCGCGTTAAGGCTACCTGAACGGCGATTAACGGCTCCTCCACCACAGCAGGATGGAAAAAGGCAAAAAGATGACGATTCTTGGTCGGCTGCAATCGCTGCTTCATGTCGACAAGGCCACTAAAAAAGGGATGCACAGCCTCTGCAGCAATCACCTTTTCGAGTAACAACGGCGGGGTCGAGTGCCACGTTAGCTCCTCCATCACAAGCCACTCCTTCGCAAAGAAATCACTAAACAAAAACTCTAACGCACCATCTATCGAAGACACATGACGCTGTCGCGCGATCCATAGATCCATATTTTCCCTCCTCGCGGCTACAGTCACTGGTGCGGAGAGCTGCTGGCCCTCTTGCTTTCCATCAGTCTGAAGCGCCGCAAGACGCTCACGACATCGACTTTTGAAATAGGTGACACAACGACGCAAGTCCATAAGCCGCCTCATTCCACGTTCTAACGACGCACTCTGTCTCAACCAGAGGTAATGTACCGGAGATCCCGCCTGACTTACAGCGACACACTGCCGAAGCAACTCGTTCTTTGCCGTGACTAGTTTTGCCGATAGCATTGCGGCATCCGACGCAAGCTCGCTACTGCTGGCGCCATTGTCCTGTTCCCCATCCCTCTCTTCGCCCCGCTTCACATCCGCATGGAGCGTCTCAATGACACCGACGCATCGGGTCAATTTCTCCGTCGCCGCCTTGACGTCCGCGAGATTAATGTCAAGTTCTGCCAAAAGCCCTATAAACTCAAAAAACTTAATTTCTTGCGTAGGTGTTACATATCGGGCAATGTCCGTTGCCACATCGGGCGGAATAATGGACTCGTATATGTCCCACACCGATTCCACAAGGGACTCTGGCAACCGTCCCTTTTCCCCAATCATCACAGCCTTCAACTCCTCCGCAAGCTTTATTTGGCACTCGACCTCGCTCAACAGCTCCCGACCGAGGCCGCTATGGGGCGATGTCCACGATGGCATCGAAGCCGGTGATGGAAGTGAGGGAGAATCGCCCCAGCAGCCCTCTCGAAGACCCCAGAGCCTACAACACCAATTTGACACGCGATCCTCCGATTGCCACGGCGTTGGTTGCGTCCCATAAAGCCGCCGCGGATGTTGAAATGCCCACCCCACATGAGAGCAGAGAGAGAGAGGCCCACTCCTGCAGCTCCCTCTCCGTATAATGTGACGTTGAAAAGGCATATTCCCCTTCTTTTTCTCTTCTTGCCGCTGTTGTTGTTGTTGTTATCTTTACTCCACGCTCTCTTAATTGTTATTTTATAAATTTCCCACACGGAGATAAAGACCAAAAAATAAAAATAAAAAATATTGAAAAAAAAAAATATATATATATATATACATAAATATTGATAAAACATTGCCCTCCTGTTTGTAGTTGGAAATAATACCATCAGACTTCTTTGCCTTGGTTTTAGTTTTTGACTGTTAGACATTTAAATAAGCAGAAATGAAAGGAGCATACAGCTATGGCAGTCGCAGTGAACTGCTCGTGATATTATTCGATAATGGAACTGTCAGAAACAGCCGCAGATATCTACGACTGCAAAACACACACTCCAACTCCACATCTGCAAGAGGCATGCACTCAATCTCTTCCCCTGTGTGCACCGGCAGTGAAGTGGACACATCCTTAAGAGAGCGAAGTTGCTCCTCCATTTTCGCACGACAGGCATCAAAACACCTCTTATGGTAAACATGTCGACATCCATTAAACGCTACAAATGGCCGCGTCAATGCAGCCTTTCCACATACGGCACAACGCTGCGTCGATGGCAACTTTAAGGGACGTCGCTGAATATTCTCCATGTCTCGTTTTATTGCCTCCACGTCCTTCAAAGACACCTCAATTGCCTGCTTGATACTCACCAGAGTATTACTGAAGATCGACACACTCGCAAGAAGTTCTTCCCGAAACTCCTGCATCATCACGTCGCCAGAAAGATGCGGCAGTACATCACTGACGTTCAAATCACCCTCACTCTCCGCAATAAGCTGCAGGGCACGTCTTGACCCACCACCCCCGTTTTTAGCCGTTGCGGTAGCAAGCCTTTTCCATAGCATGTGACGAATCTCCTTCTCATCATTACCTCTGATACTGCGGATAAAATGTATTGCAAGCTCCTCGTTTCGTATTTTCATCGCCAACTGTATCGCTTCCTCATAGCGTCCAGTGATGAAACAAGTCCAGGCACAACCCACATGCCTCCCAAACCGCGAACAAACACGGTAGGCATAAGATACTTCAAGGCGATGTGAAATGTGGTTTGCACACAACTCGGTAAAAAAACGAGTCAATGCGGCATCATCTCCATCTCTTGCCGTAAAGTACATCAACAAATTCAAAAGACATTCGTTTGTATAACCCTCCGTGTAGATAACATGCTCCAAGTACAGTTGTGCAGCGTGGTAAGTCGCACGGGCTCGCTCTTCTTCTAATAAGGATTCCTCAATCATATGCCGCTGTAAGACCACTTCTATCGCGCCGTCCACCTCAAACGCCCTCTCGTTACGCCGTGGGTCATAAAGCAACAACGCAGGGAAGAGCTGCATGGGATTTAACCCCAAATCTGAGCCAAATGGAATTAGTCCGCGACGCACAAAGCGGCAAGGACAAAAACGCATAAGTATAGATGCATACTTCAGCCAATATGTTTTTAACGATTGATTGAGCTGATTCAATTGATCTTCTTTTAAAAGTGTTGTTACTGACGTTGTTGTTTTTGTTAAGGCAGAAGCGCAAACTCCAGTTCCATTTCTTTCAAGACATACAAGTCCATCCAGTTGCCGTTCCTGCTGCAGGAAAAGGCGCGAAAGTAGCTCCCCATGATGACCCAATCGTTCGCAAATTAAAATGGCCAGTTCGGCGCTCGCTATGCCAAAGACGGCTGCGCAAATCGCTTTCCACTGCACAAATGCACCGTATCGTACAAAGATTTGATCCAGCAACTGCCGTGGATTATTCAAATTATACTTGCGGCGAAGATATGCCGTCATCTCGAGAGAACGTCGATTTTCACCCACTGCCTTCTCTGCGCCCACTGACGAGGTGACAATGGCAGGATTGGCCACAGACACGGTTACCAATGCAGGCAAACCAGAACATTCCCCGTTGCCTTGTCGTTCCTTCCCAATTTGATTGCAACGCTCAAGAAGGAGGGAGACAAGCCATGTTGTGAGGCAAGTTAACTCCAGGCTACATGTTTCACCATTCGATTTCTGTCGCTCATACCCGCGCAGCCGTAAGATTAAAAAAAGAATAAGCGGTTCCATGTCATCCGTCGCGACCCGTGAAAACTCCAGCAAAAGTGTATTCAAATACGGTGGGCCCTCCATTGCCAGTCCGTGCTGGGCTGCCGCCTCAAGAAAACGGCCTTGACGAAATAGCCGCTTTGCGTACACATGCCGAACACGCGGCAGTAGATCACATCTCTCCCTTTCCAAGGAAGAACATGCAGCAAGTCGTAGCGCCATGCCGTACAAAAAGTCCGTGTCGTAATGTAACATCGTACGTAGTCCCGCCTCTATGTGTCCTCCCAGTGTACCCATGTGTGGAATATTTACCACCTTATCCTTATGATTCCTGATCCACTCCTCAAATTGAAGCTCGTCGTTGGTGCATCTCAAGGGTAGTTTATAAGATGTTGTAAAAAAAGATGACAAAGACTCGCTGCTGCGGGAAGGAATAACCGAAATAGGGCTTAAAGGACTTTCTGGGCCCGGCGGTGTGCGAAGACTTACCGGCTGCAATGACACTCGGGGTCGCCAGGAAACATTCTGCGGCAACGTCATCTGTTGACTGTTCAACTCCATCGTCCGTGCCTCTCCTCCTTGTGTGCCCTCCGTCTCGGTATTCTCAGAGGTGATCTTATTCACGGCAACAACGTTGATAGAATTGACGGCATCCATTAGCTGTGCAACGTACTGCGCACGACGACGACGACGAAGTCGAAGTTCAACAATGTACGATGTGGCAAACAAATGAAATACCTGCGAGCGGCCCCAGTCACGAGAACAGAATGCCATCATCGCATGATTCTCGCAAGCTCCTGCAGCTGTGTTTCCCACTGTTGGGGTTGCAAGCCCCCGAGTAAATACAAGGGAATTCTTCCATTGAAATGACTCCTGCGGCAAAGGCAATGCCGCAAGGTGACAAAAAGCGTACACGGCGCGTGTCGTGGTGAGCAACAAGTAGCCATACCCCATCGCAAAGGAGACAAGGCTCTCCGCGCTCTGTGGCTCCTTCTCTCTCGTTCGAATCTCCACCGCCTTTGGAAGAATCAACTCGTCTGCAGCCAAGCGACTTGCCGGGAGTCTGGGCAAAATAAAACGCCCCCCACATCCGTATTGCACACCCTGGCGAATTAATAAGAGCCGCTCAATGTCACCCACTCCAAGAGGTCGTGGTGGTAATTTTTCGGTTGTCACATTTTTTTCTCTTCTGGCGGGCATAAAACGAAACATCGGTGGTCTTTGCGTCGTGCCCCCTTTTTGTGGCTGCAGAAACGCAGAGAATTCTCGCAGAAGCCGGCCAAGATCCACCACGCTGAGAATACCAATGGGCAATAGACTTTGCCACAGGTTCAAGGGCAAGCGCGTATTAGGCAGAGGCGGAAGACCTGTTGGCCGCAGTGCCGAGAAACCAAATCCCTTGGTTTTTTGCTGCAGAGAAGGTGAAAGCGCTGCTAAAGAAGCCTCCTCTGTCAATGTACTCACTGGGCCCGTCAACATGATAACACCATGCGTTAGAGTATCACCGTACTGCCAAAAAAAAACATGTGGAAGTTTGTCCGCGTCAGCCCCGGGTACAGAATTCCGTCTAGCGTCATGATCTTTATTGGCTTCCCCTCCTCCTTCTGCTGCCGGCACACGTAATGATGATGGCTTCGTGGGAATCAACTCGCGGGGATCCAGAATAGCCACTTGTGAAAAAAGACGCGGCATCAAAGCATCCGGAGAGGCATGTGTGACTTTCGTGTCTACATGAGCGACGGTGCTCGAGAGAGCCCTGTGACGGCACCTAATTGAAGAGGAAGATAAAACAGGGGAAGGGGTGGCAGCATTTGTGGTTGTTGCAGTAGTAATATTCGCCGTCGTCGTCATCATCGTCTTCGTAGACGCCTCTTTGCTGATACTGATGTAATTCATCAAACTACCGCCACTCAACCCAGCACATGACAACGATGAACCAGGGTACAAGGTTGCAGAATTGGAGCGTGGCACAACATTCTTGCAATTCATTAGGTTTGTATCAAATGCGGCCTCAAGTCTACCACCCTGTCCCCATAGCGAAGAAAAAACAAATAAACGACTATTCTGAGCAATAAACACTACATGGTGACGTGGGTGTTCAGGCGATTGTGAATCTACCATGTACGCCACGCTGTCAATAGGCTGGGTGCTGTATGGTTGTGGAAATTGGTACAATTTACGGGCTTCAAAGATGCCGTGGGTCTCCAAACGGCACGCAAGAAGGACCCCACCACTGCTGGAGCCAAGAATAATCTCACCTGTTGTCGTATCACTCTTGTTATTGAGGTCCCACGCGACGCATTCCAGGTGAAATGGTTGTAACATGCCGGTGACATTTGAAGAAAACTGCAGCGGAAATCGCCGGGGCGTCATGTCTTCCTCAGACCTTTCTTCATCTCCTCCAGCCTCCATGCCTTCTGCGGGCCAGCCCTCAGAATGATGACGTCGATGGCAACGACGGTGAGGAATGTGGTAGTATGCCGCCTTGCCTGATCGCCACCGCACCACACAGAAGTTCCCCCGTGGGTCAAGAAAAAGCGCTGAGACGGCATCTTTTTCATCGATAAAAAACTTTACAGCAGCCGGTGATTCATCTGACGTCTTCGCATCACTGGCAAGCTTCAGGCGACTGATGGCAATGTCTTTCTCCTGATCAAAAAAGTATAAATGTTGTGGCACTTGCTCCGTCACCACGGCGTAAATTCCACCAGCCACAACAACATGTGCAAAGGGCTCCACGTTGTGGTCAATGGGGCATGCTGGGCGTTCCATGCGGTATCCAATCGATGGAATTGCCGTCGCCACACCCTTCTTCTCCGCGTCACGGTAAAACGCCCTAACAGCAGCGTGTACACTTCTACTGTTCTGTGCACAATCTGCAAGCGTTTGTTCTTCAAAGCGCCGGCGTGTCACCTCCATGACAACTTCCTTGATCTCGAGAGAGTCATCGATATCGGATGCCACGTGCTCCGATGTCAACAGGGCGGGATCAAACCACGAAACCTTCTCTGATGCCACATACATCAACAATTTCCCTCTTTCCTGTCTGTGTGTATATGTGTGTTTGCAATGTCTCCAGGCAAATCAGAAAGAAAGACAAATACCGGCACACAGAAAAAAAAATAATAACAAAATAAAATAAAATACATTTTGTCAGGAGGTTCTTTCAGCAAAAAAAAGTATTCATGTCACACACAAAAAAAAAAGGCATTTTCGGGCAAATAACGTGAAAATCACACACAAATAAATTTTAAAAAGTTCCTTCTTTTTTGAAATGGGCTCTCGCCACTTCACAATTCTGCGTGCGTACGCCTTTGCGTGTTGTGTGTGAAATGCATCTAAAATGGTGTCAAAATGTATGCGCTCCCGCAACGATAGAAAGCAAATAAAATCACATAAAATAATATGCGGCAAGCAGAAGCCTCTAATTTAGATTTAAATACATGTCTTTTAATGGCATTTTTTTATGTGGCCCCGCCCTGTCAAAGCACCCGCGCCACATGTATATTCAGTCCAATCGCTACACTGTATAAAACTAGTCGTCTGGCATTCATTTCATCAGAGCCCGCATTTCATTAATGCGGCTCAGCAAAACCTCGGTCGAAGATCTCACAGCACCTCCAGCACCTATTTCATTCACTGGTGAGGAAAGGACGGGTCTTTGCTCGTGCCCAAAGAGCTGACGCAGCGTGATACCACCGGCCCCGACCTGTCGCGTGGTTTGCAAACAGGAAGTACCCAACGAAAGAAAAGGTGCATTTGTCCGGTCATCACTAAAACGATGAGGTGAATTAGAATTAAAAGGCGACTGTGGTGTCATAAAGGTTTGTGCATCCCCACTGGGGGCATCAGGGAGAACGTTCCTCTCCTGTTGGAAGGGCAGTAACGCACTTTTGTTTAGAGATGTACGACGTTGACGTTCATTCAATATCTGTCTTAAACTAGGCTCATTTTCCACACCGTCGGATGGCATTGCGTAGGAGGACGTAGTTCGGTACTGCAAGGTCGCCGCAGGGGATCTGTCGCCACCACCGCCGCCACCAACAGGACTGTACTCTGTTAGTGGTGATACATGAACCTCCGAAATTCTTGAAGAGCTCTCTATAATTTGTTGCTCCTGTCGCCGTTGCTGTTGCTGTCGTTGTGGATCACGAGGAGGTGTCCTCTGATCCGTCATGTGAAGTTGCTGCTTTCTTCGCTGCGGTTTTCCCTCTCTGAAATTCACTGCATCCTTCGTGTTATGGTGCCGAACAGAAAATGGCAAATTCTCACCATCCTTCCTTTCTTGACTTGAACGAGGGCGAGAGGATTGAGCAGTTGATGCTGGTGATGGCGATAACATTGTTGCTGGCGGTTGTGTGTGCTCCATCACTCGAGACGGAGAAATCCAATCCACCTCTCTCCCCTGATCCATTGAATGGTCATGCGCGGAAAAGCCACCCGTGGCTCCAACACGCTCGCATGCAGATGGCGATAACGGTGCTGCCCTCGATGGCCTCGAATGACCAGACATGTTCTTGTGACTATCCGAAGAGTGGCGACGCCAGTTATCATGCGACTGTTTCGGTTGTTTCTCCCTTGATGACATGTTGTTCAATACAAGAGATGCGGGTGTTCGCTGATGCAGAGCCTGTCTACTAGTACTGCTACCAGCGACTCGACGTTGGCTTTCGTGCCGTTTTGGGCCAGCCCGGACCTGCGTCTTGAGTTCCGGGCGTTTTGACGCCTCATTGAAACCTTTTTTTCTGTTTGTCTGCACGGTGGAATCCTGAAAAAAGTACAGGCTTCTTGATTTATTCTCGGAAGTTACTTTCTGCGGCGTCGGAGCACGCAGGCGGTAACACAAATCTGAACTGTTGAGAGTGACTCTTCGTCCAGAAGCCTGCATATCCGCTTGCCTCCCTTCTGACCGTAAAGCCGACCGAGCACGTGGTCTCCCTTCGACTTGCCCTTGTGGCCCCCGCGTGACGAAATTCGCCGAAAACCGATGCCCTGAACTCTCACTTCCCTTTGCTGCCGCACCTCTGTGCGTCGTGATCCGTGGCTCATCCAACGTCTCCTCCTCGCCGTATTCCGCGCAGTAATACTGATCGGCGGCAACATCGGAGCAAAGTTCCGCCTTGCCCCAATCGCCAACAAAGCCACTGCCACGACCACGCACGGAAGGTGGCCTCATTACACGTACGGGTGACGGCGAGGCAGACCCGCAGCTCGATCGAAACCCGCTCATCTCGCGTACACTACTGCATTCATGGCACTCCGAATCTCGTCTCACCTGCGCCAGCCTCCAGTACAGTGGAACCTCCTCTTCTTTTTCATGACCAGCGGTACTGTTACTCGTCACTTCCGAGTGTTCACGATCTGCCACGTTGCTCATCAGCTTCCTCATTGGTGTCCCATCACGCCAAGTTGACTGCGACGATGATGCACTGCGGGCATAAAGAGCCGCCATTCTCTCCGCGTCAAGAGAAATAGACCGGCGGCATCCAACTCTATTTTTCCTGTTATGACTACCAACGGCATGAAATTTATTGCCATTCTTCTTGTTGATGGAATCGTTTGATGCACCAAGGCGCCCCCTCAAAAACAAATGAGACGTATGTGAAATGGAATTCACTGGAATACCCACTCTTGGTGGAAGGCCATTGCTCTCCATGCTATTAGCTCTGCAACCAGCGCCAATTCCACCATCATTGAATCTAAAGTTGTTCTGTTTACAAGTCGCTTGGCCTGCTTGATGCACCTTCTTCATTTGTTTTTGTTGTTGTTGTTTTAAAACGGATTCGTAAATAGAAGGTCCATGACGAGGAACAGAAGAAGAGATGGTTCGTGGTCGCTGCCTATACGACGGCAACGATGCTGACGATAAATTCTTTGGTGGTGGCGGTGGCAACTCGGTTGTTCTCACGTCTCCCTTCCTTGCCACCTGCGATAACTCCCATTCGTACTGTTTACGTATTGCCAGCAGTTTAGACTTCTCTTTATGAAGCGTGTTCAATGACCCGGTGCCTGAACGCAATGATTTGCTCCATGGGATTTTCTCCATACGGTGAATCTCCCTATCAATCAAACGGATTTGGCGAAGAAGACACCGACGTCGACGTGTCGCAGCACTGGATTCCCCACTCGTATGACGTTGACTTCTTTTACCCACACTAGAGGATGGGTGCATATGCGCTGCTATGGATGCAGCAGGCTTCATGTCCTCCTTCACCCACTTCTGTAGAAGAATGGGAGAAGCACTCCGCAAGGAGGCAAAATAATCGGCGCAGTTATTCTTACTTGTGCGAGTGGATGTCTCCGCTTCTCCTCCAACGCCATCGCGCCCTCCACTCCTTCCACGACTCATCCGCACCGGTGGCTTATTTGAGTTCTCAGAACTAACGGAGCGAGCACCAAAAAACAAGACAGGGTTCTCACCACACCACACCGTCAGCCTTTCGAGCTCAGCATGTGCAAAGGCAGCAGCCCTTCGGGAGGGTCTGCGGGGCACCGGCTCGTCGTTATCGTCGCCGCTCTCCGACATCCGTTTCGTTTCCTCATCAGAAGGCGGAGGCGACGACGGCAAACTCGCTTCACGTGTGTGACTTTGACCGTTTAACCGACTCCTACCGCCCTCTGAGGGGGCACGAAGAGTTCGGATCTCTTTATCCGCCTTCCCTGTCACTTCGTTCCTCCTCGTCATTCCCACGGACCCGCCAACACCATGCGGTCTAAAGAATTTTTTCTCCGCCGTGACGCCTTTTGTTGCAATAGGTGATACAAGAGTGAAGCGGTGGCGTGTCGAATGGGACGTCGAGGGCTGCGATACTTCGGTGTCTTTGGTGATGGCACTGAAATCCTGATCAACAGATCGCCGAGTTTGTTTCTTCTCCCCTCCGTTACCGGGCGCCGAATGGTTCCGTCTTTCGTTACCCTCACTGTTATCAATGTGAGCAGCAGTCACGGTACCTTTGTGAACATCCGAAAAAAAACAACGAGACTCCTTCATTGTCGTGGTGGCGGCGTCGCGTTGCTCCACAGTATGCGGTGACTCGTCCAGTACTACAACAACAGCGGGTGATGCCGTCAAATCCACCGCGTCAGGGCCTTCCTTTTCCAGTTCCGGTCGTTTATCCCCGCGCGGTGGCGTTGTGCTCATCGCGACAATCCCGTTGTCTCCCTCAGACATCATGTTACCTCCTGTATTTGGTGGAAAATTCGGTTTAAAAAGGAATGATGATGTCTGCGTTTGCGCAGCCACATCCCTCCCATTCGTACTACTTGCCTTCACTCCCGTCTCGTTGACTCTATCGCCGCCTGGAAGTCTGCCCGACGTACACGTCGAGGGGTGCATATTTTCTACAGATCCACACGCATCCCACTCACGTCGCTGCTGCTCGCGGGCGGCCCGCTGTTCCTGCATGGACTTCTTCAACAAACGTATCTTCTCTTGGAAGAGAGTTCCGGCGTCTTTGTCAGCGGCATCCATTCCAGTGCCGCCACTACGTGCCGTCATCGTCGAAGTATTCGTGGAAGGAATGGTGGTGGCGGTGGTGGCGCTAAATGTGTCGAAGGAACAGGACGAGCAAACAGTAGACGGCATTAAAGAAGATTTCACCGTTGGTGTAGTCGTTGTAAACGTCGTGGACGACGTATCCTCGCAAATTCCCCGAGAAAAGGACAAAAAGGAATGACACGAGCCACTCCTCCGCCAACCCAACGCAACGCCCGGGTCCCAGGACTGCGACCCGTTCCGCATGGCTCCTACTTCCCCCTTCCCCTCTTCCTCTTCTTCTTCTTTCTCCTCGGGCCCCCTCTCGCGGAGCACACCGCAAGATAAGAGAAAGTCTGGACAGGAGAAAAATAATAATAATAATAATAATAATAATAATAATAATAAAAAGAACCAAAGCCACACACAAAGGAAAAAAAAAGACATCGCTGGCCGGCTTTCCTGCACTTTCGGTGGATACTTCTGTGCGCATGCGTGCCCGCCTGTTTATACATGACGAATGGGGCAAGAGTGTTCTCATCACTCTCTCCTTTTCCTTCCCTTCCCTTTCCTTTTCTTTCTTTTCTTTTTTTTTTTTCTTCTTTTTTCCTTTCTCTCGTCCTTTAGTACAGCGATGTCTTTTTCATCACGCGGAGAAATTCATCCTCGCTCACCTCACCGTCACCGTCGCGATCGGCCTCGTCTATCATCTCCTGCAGCTCCGCGTCTGTCATGTTCTCGCCGAGCTCCTGCGCCACTCGTTTGAGGTTCTTAAAAGAGATCTTCCCCGTCTTGTCGTCGTCGAAGAGATGAAACGCCCTCAGCATCTCCTCACGTGAGTCCCGCTCCGTCATCTTACGGGCCATGAGCTCCGTAAACTCCGCAAAGCCAATCGCCAGCGGTTCCGCACCGGGACCAGCGGCTTCGACCCCCGGCACGCGTCTTTCCTCAGCGATGGACAACAACAGTCGACGCACTTCGTCCTTGCGGGGCTCAAAGCCGAGTGCTCGCATGGCGACTTTCAACTCCTTCGCGTCGATCGTGCCGCTACCGTCCGTGTCGAAAAGATCGAAGGCCTCTTTGATCTCCTGTCGCTGATCCTCCGTAAGCTCCGACATGGCGTTGTTCTTGCCTGCGCCCCTCGGCTGGGAGGCCGTCCCCGGTGGCGTGCTCTGCTTCGCGGTGTGACTCATTGGACTGGCAGTGAGTGACCCTCATAATGACAAACAATAAATAAATAAATAAATAAAACAGACAGTTTGAGATTGCCCTCCAGGCACGCAGTAAATTTACCGGTAACCGAGAACCGACAGATAATTACAATGCAAGAAATGCACACACACACACACACACACACACACACACAAACAGAATTTTCCTCTCTCCTTCTTTGTTTATTAATCACTCCTTCAGCCCTCTTTTTGATTTCATTTCATGCTCCTTAAAAAAAAAAAAAAACAATCAATATTCCGCCCCTATTTCATCTCAAAAAAAGGTCCAACGTCCCATGCGCAAACCTCAACGACGACGATGTCGACGAAAAGCCACACAAGCCGAACTGCTATTCGACGAAGTACTACTGCTCGAGGTATTGCTACTATCCCCGCTGCCGCTGCCGCTGCGAGGACGTTTCCGCTCCTGAATGTTCGTACTGCCATTCCAAGACGCCCCTCCCTGCAGCTGAACCTTCCGAATTGCAACCATTTCCTCCATGCTACTGGCCGTTGTCATCGCCATGAGCTTTTCCTTTTGAGCCGGGTCTTGCAGAAGTCCATCATAAGCAGCATCAATAAACTGACGCCGCGCAACACTGGGTCCATCCACGTGCAAGATACGTGAGAGCAACGTGGGACGCCGCGCAATCTCCATGGCGTCCGGCAAAAATTCCTGCTCAACGCCCACAGGTGCATCAAATAAAGCCGTTAACGCCATATATGCATGTGTAAATACAGAAGTGATAACATGGAAAATGCGTAGTGAACTCGCAGCATTATTTTGCACACAGCCTGGATCTTCTATCATCACCTGTGATAATCCCTGCGAGGAACTTTGCCCTGTCGGACTGCTAGGTGTTAAGGCAGACGTTTCACCACGTAGAAAGTATCGACCGCCGTCCAGAAGAGAAATACCGCACTGGTGATAGTTAAAGTACATGCCATAATATCGAAAGAAATCCACGAGTAGTGTTCCAAGGCCGGTGTATGCCCGCTCCTCGGGTCGCTCTGTGTAAATCGGGTGATTTTGAAGAAAGCTAATCACTAGCAAGGTTGTCGCGAAGGATCCAAGGCCACCGTGATACGGCTCGTGCATCCCACGTTGCTGCAAAAAGTATTTCACCAATACTATCAATGGTCGTGCCTCGGGAAAGGAGCAAAGCATGTCTGCAACGATGGCGGAATTCCTCTGGCCATCCTCGGCGTTGATACTGACGTCCACATCCAGCAAAGAAAGGCGGTGCTGAAATTTCACTAATGGGACCTTTGTCTTTAGGATAAGTTGGGGATATGCGGCGTGGCACAGCCCTTCACGGCTAATTTCACGTGCTAACGCCGTTAGTGCCTCCTCCGTCGTCACGGGAACCTTCAGAATAGACATGTCTAGATCCGACAGAGGCAACAATAGACCTGTAGACATGCTACCAAACACAATAGGCTCGCAATCAGGCCAAAGACGTTTGGCTATCGTTCGCACCTCCATCGCAATAATTCTTCGCATAAAAATCTCCGCCTCAGAGGGACGAAGGTACTTCACAAAGTCGCATACCTCCTGATGCAGAGCGATGGCCGCGTTTGACGCGTACCCGCCGTGTGTGGTGTAGCGTTCCACACTCCAAAGCGGCACCACACGCTGCCGCGTCAAAAGGAATTCTTTCGACCGGGAACGCAGTGATTGCGTGGATGAAGATTTGGACACTACCCGCCCATCTCGACCCTCCTGCACTGTGAGCGTGGCTTGTAGGTCGCTCTGTGCGACGTCGGACAGCGCGCTAGAGGGAGGAAGGAAACTGAGATAGTCACCATGGATACCCACGCCCTCACCACCGTCATCACCACCACCCAAAAGCTTCTTGACCCCCACATCTTGTGGCACGTGTTCCTCATCCTCCACATCGCTCGTCTCTCTCCCCCCGACGGATAATGTTGCTGTTCCTGCTGCTGGCGTTGTATGCAACGCTTCCTTTCCGTCCTTCCTGCCAGGAGCAGCGGCACCACATCGTTCCTTTTGTATGGTACCTTGATGTTGACGGAGCTTTTCTGCCAACTCATGCGAGATGGGTGGCACCAGAGGCACGTCCGCCTCCTCCATCATCAGCCACTCACCGCTGAAGTCGCTGCTCCTCTGCTGAAAGCGAGAAAACAAACTGCACGCTGGTGCCGGGGATGAACTGTTCGGCACATTTGGTGTGCCATTTAGCGATGTCGTGTTATCATTATCCTTCTTGTCGTAATCATCGGTGTTATTATTTAATTTGTTATTGTGTTTACCGTCGGTGCAGGTCGGTGTGTCATCCGAGGTGACAACCGCCCCCTGGGAAACAACAACACGTCTGCGGCGTTTCATTGCCCCTCCTCTCATCCCTTCATTTTTCCAATCAGACACACACACACAGAGAGAGAGGGAGAGAGAAAGAAAAAGGAGAAGTGTATGCGTAAAGAACAGCTTGCAGTTGTTTAACCGCGACAAAACAAAAAGGTGTAGGAACACAAACAAACAAAAAAAAAAAAAAGAGGTCACCAGTCACACCTCCTCCTCCTTCAAAGATAAGCCTAAAACGGCTGTCAGCATCGACGTCTCTTCCAATCATTCTCTTTTCTTCTTCTTTTTCTTTTTCTTTTTCTTCTTCTTCTTAGTCGTTTGTCTTTCGTTTTTTGTTTTTTCGTATTGTTGTGTTTTTCTCGTTCCTTTTCTCCCCATTTCGTCCCTCCGTACATTTAAAACTGACGACACGACAATTATTGATAAATCGGGCTTAGAGCCAGCAAAACAAAATAAGGAAAACAATGATTACATGCGGAAGTAAAAGAAAGAAAAAGAAAAAAGAAAAAAAAAACACACACACACAGAGAGAGAGAGAGAGCGTGTTATTCCCCCCTCCCCCTTCTTCTTCCCCTCCTTCTTCTTCCCCCACCCCCCGCTCATACACGCATACAAGCATACAGAAGGATAATAAATTCAAAAAAAAAAAAAAAAAAAAAGTGAAATTAAACATTGATGTAAATAATTTTTTCTCTTCGTTTTCTTTTCTTTTTTTTTATTTTTTTTTATATTAATTCATGTAAGAAATTCTCCCGATTAAGTTTGAAAGGTTATATTCCCCCCAGTTTTGTTGCTTTGGTGGGGATGTTCCTTTTTTTTTTTTTTTTTTTTTTTTTTGCCCATCTTGATTCACATCCTATTAATCAGCTTGGGTCGCTAAAAAACGGCCACATGTTTGCTCCAGCCACTCGTTTCACACACACACACGCGAGCGTATTCTCAGATGGTGGTGAGAAAGGGGTGGAGCAACAACTCCTCGCAGCTCGGTCGATCCTCCGGACGAATTCGAAGACACATAAAAAGAAAGTTCTCCAGCGCAGCAAACAATTGCATGCGTCGGCAATGCTCGGTAGAACCTGAAATGTCAGAATCATGAATACTTGCGGCATCAGTCTCAATTTCCGTCTCATCCCCAACTTTTATAATCTCCAGACGTCTCCTCTTCTGTAGCTTTGCATCCTCCGTGAAAGAAGCAGTCACATCGATCGCTGCTTGGCTTTCTGCCTTATATGCCAACGACCGCCTCGCCTCCTCTGCCGCCTGCACCACGCTTGGCGGTAGTGGCAGATCCTCACGGGAGGAACCAATACGAAAAAGCACGCGGAGTTTATCTCTCGCAAGATGTCGCCATGGGGCAGCGCCCGTCACAAGCTCCATCACAACACATCCAATAGACCATACATCGCCTGCAGTACCAATGCGATGACGCTCAAAACGGATCATTTCGGGAGCCATGTAAACCGCCGTCCCACGAAGCTCTGTGATGGCATCGTCTTCGGCAAGAACGGGGTACGGTGGCGCTGCAGCAGCCTCATGCGTTTCACTGGATGCAGCTCCAGAAGCGGCACTCATGCCCTCCTTCCGTCCCTCATAAAATGACAAAACAGTCTGCCCTGGTGATTCACAAGATTCGGATTCTGCCTCACTTCGCCGCAGACGCATGGAGCACCCAAAGTCTGCAAGTCGCGCGTCCCTCTCCTCCGTCACGAGAATATTTGCCGTTTTTACATCCAAATGGGCATACCCGTAAAAATGAAGAAAGTGAAGGGCCTCCACTATTTGCCTCGTAAGTCGCTGCACCTCTTCTATAGGAAGAGGCGGCATTTCAGGCGATACAGTTTTATTCCGTGAGGCGGCTGAAGCAACAAAAAAGCTAACCGGCGTACGTGAATATGCCAAGTATGAACATCCATCACTACTTTCCAAAACACTATTAGGCTCTTTTATTTCTTGAGAGATATTTTTGAAAACAGATGACTCGGAGTCAACCGGTTCAATCGTTCCACTAAAGCTAGGCAAGGAAGCAGTGGACATCACCTTCGAGGACACCACTGAAGGTATACTTCCTCTGGAAAGCATGTAGTCCAGTAAAGATCCCCGTGGACAATATTCCAAATACATAAGAACAGAGTGGCCTCTTTTCTCTGCGCCATGAAATCCGACGATCCAGGGCATACGATGACGTGTTGCTACACTTAATACTTCCAACTCCAACTCCAACTGTTTTAGTCTGTGTCGCAACTTTGGTTCATTAGAATTAAATTGCAGCTGCTTTGCTGCAAGAACCTCACCTGTTTCGGTGTTCAGACACTCGTAAACTTTCCCACAACATCCACCACCCAAAAAGGCACCAATGCGAAGCTCACCCCTCTTTCCTGCGACACCTTGTAGGCGCGGTCCCGTGGTTGGTTCTAATGGAGGAAGTGGGGCCAAAAGAAGACCGGTATTGGCCCTTGAATTACAACCCCAGATGTTTGCAAGCGGACGTCTAAAATATCGTCTAACTTCCTGCGAAGTTACAGATAGAGAATGTTGCCCAGATGATCCAAGAGAGCCTGTTGTGGCTGTGCTGTTTGGCGTAACGACAGCATTTCGTGGGGATAACTTTAGCGGTGGCAAAGTGTGGGTATCAATGGTTCGCAAAGCTCCATGGGCGTCGTGGTACGTCAAAGACAATGAGTATGTGGAGGCACCGTCACCCCGGGGACGTACAAAAACATCATCCACCCGACGATCGTGTTGCTGGGGAGTCGCGGAGACCAGCCTCTCCGTTGCTCCCGCTGATACAGGCGGTCCTTGATGATGCGGCAGTGACTCGTCCCGTTGCAGGAGACCGACAGCATCAGGCCCTTCATACAAAGACTTTCCCAGAAATTCTTGAGGATGACTCTCAGATGTGTGTAAAACTGCAGCGGGTTCAGGACCCTGGGATGCCGTGAGGGCTTTCGTATCACAACGGTGCCCTACTGAACCGCGCAGCTGTTGCTCGAGTCTTTTTTCAAGAGTGCGTAACCGTGCCTCAAGCTGAACATGCCTGGTACCTGTGTCCCGCGTTTCCGTGCTCATGTGCTCTCCGCTGCATCCCTCGGCGCATTTAGAAGAAGAATGGGGAATGCTCAAATTAGACAAAACATCGCTGGCATTCCCTCCCACCCCCACATCATGCGAGCCTCTTATTGCTGATGTGTTCAGTCCCGTGCTCGCGCCCCCATCAGGAGAGATAAAACCAGATTGCGGTACCTCCCCCCCTTGTGAAACGCTATCCAAAGTACAAGTGTGGTTGGATTGCACATGCGGCAAACAACTTATGTCAGCTGCTCCAATCAAATGTGAAAGAGTTTGTTGTAAATTTCCCCCCGAAACATCATCTGTCTCTCCAAACTGCCGCTGCCAATCATAACCGCGTGGTCCGGGTATACATTCCTCTCCAGAAACAGTGGGAAAGTCGGAGGCGCGGCCGACCACGCACTTAGGAGATCGAGCCACCGGTGAATTGAACGCCTCTGTCACTCTGCAATCCCTCGCGTGTGCAAGGGCATTCTTCACCCCAGATGCTCTAGTCGACGTTAACGGCGACAACGTTTTCCAGTCAATCCCGCCAAGATGCGAGCCTACTTCCCCATCACTAAGCGCCGCAGTACTGGCACCGTTCCCTACTACTGACGTCACAGCCGGAGTTCCTTCGCCAGAAAAGACGATTTTAGGCGTATCAAGACCGCTGCTGTTGCTAATACGCCCGCTCATGCTCCGAAAGAAACAATGAGTGCAAAGTGCCCCAGATGAAAAACTGGCCACCGACGAAACCCGCATCACCGCGGCGGATTCACAGAAACCACAGAAGGTGGCGCAGTTGTGGCAGCGATGACCACGATGCGGCTGCTGAAAGCTCAGATTTGAAGATGAGGGCAAACTCGGGCTATCCACGTCAGCGTGCAGAGCCTCGCTCATCTCCGCCGCCGCCTCAGACAACACATCCTCCTCATCCCCTTTGTCGGTAAGCCATGGTGTCTTTGTAGACGTAAAAACAGCGGTCAAAGCCGCCGGGCGAGAATTTTTTCGATAGAAGTCCCGTCCACTACCACTTCTGCGTTGCCTAAAAAGAATCGGCGCCCCTTTCCAACGCGGAGAGCCTGTCGATACATACACAGCAAGTGCACCGGCCATAGCCGTCACACCGAGAGAAATTAAAACTGTTGGGTGGTCTGCAGAAAAACTGCCTACGGCGGTGCATACAAGAGCCACATAGGAGCGGCACTGCGTGTACCATTGACTCCTCTCCATTGCCACCACAAGTAACGACAATAAAATTTAAAAAAAAACGTACACGTAAGCTTTTTTTTTTTTTTTTTTTCCTCCTCCTCTTAATCTTGTTATTTTAGTGGCCAAATATGTTTATATAAATATTATTCGTTAGGAAGGGCGTATTTCTTTCCCCAGTTTCTGAATGACGCTTTATGTACCTTGGCTTACTTTGATTCTTTCCCCTAACCCTCCCTGCCGCCCCCCTTTCCCCCCACCTTCCCGGTTATATTAGCTGCTCTGAAAATTTTCTCGTTTTTGCTGTTTGTTTGCTTGTTGTGCGCACTCCAGCCCTGTCCCGCACGCAGCCTTGTCCTTATTCCCTTGTCTTTATCCTCTCCCCTCCCCCCTTTCGTCGTTGCGTGTGTGTGTGTATGTGTATGTGTGTGTGTCGCGCCCCCTTCTTCAAGACCCACTCGCTCACTTTTGAACACAATAAAGAAGTGCCCTCTCCCTAATAAGCGTGCGGATAAATGGAAGTATGTATACAACGCCCTGCTCTTCTTCGCTGACAAAACTCTTTGCAGCCTCACGCACTCTTCACGACACACACACCTTTTCAACCCCAAATATATATTTTTTTCTCACCACCACAGAATCAACTCAGCAGTGTCAGTACGAAAGAAATGAGGATTCTTCAGGTGCCGCCTCAGTAAACCCTTCAAAACGACGTGCGCGCAACAATAAATCCACCCAACCGCGTTTTTCTCCCTTCCTCCTCCTTTATTTGTTTTTCGCCACGGCGGTCCTGCCTCTGCCTTGTAATACTTTCCCCCCACCCTCTCCTACGCAAACAAAAGCAATGCGGCTGGACTCAGGTTCACGCCAAGCACGAACGAAATATATAAAATAAAATAAAAATAAAATTGAGGAAAGCCAGGGAACAATAACAAAAAAAAAAAAAAAAAGAAGAAATGGTAACCGTAATAATTACCGCTGTAGTAAATTAAAAAAAAAAAAAAGTAAGTGTGGAAGAGGAAAAAGTGTGTCCTTTTTTGTTTGTGTGTATCTGTGTTAAAGCAGCAACGAAAAGAAGAAGTCCTAACAGATATGAGCGGCTACAAACAAAGGAGCCTTTGGGTGTAGTGTGTGTATGTATATATATATATATGGGATGGAAGTATCCATGGATGCAAAAGCAACACAAATAATGCCGGCAGTAAAAGAAAAAAAAAAAAAAAAAGAAAGAAAGAAAAGAGAAGAAAAGGCATTTCAAATTGCATGTCATTGTACACGGGCGGCAGTGGTGACATGAAGGAAGGGGAGACAGTGGAAGGAAAAAAAGTATTTGGCAAATGAACGTCAGAAAATAAATAAAAAACAAAAAGAAAAAGAGAGAATTGTGACTGGTCGCATCAACGGCATATCACCATTTCATTTTCCGCCGCTTCCTATTCGTCGTCGTCGCCGCCGGCCGCACCCTTCTTCGCTGCCTTCCTCTTCACACGCTTCACACGCCCCGGGCGGCCGTTGCCGAACGGTGAGGCGTCAGCGAAGGCAATGTGATGCTCGGAGCTCACGCGGACGATAAATGACGGGATGGTCACAATCTGCTTGGCCACCGCAATGTGGCGCTGCAGAATGAGCACACGTGCGTGGTGGACAGACTTGGCAAGGCCGTGCTTGAATACCACGGTCTGGAGGCGGCGCTCGAGAATGTCGGGGACGGTGAGCGAGAGGACGTAATCGAGTTTGTCCTTCTCCTCCTCGAGGAAGCCGTAGTCGTGGCAGCGGCGCATGATGGCGGAACCCTCCAGCTGCCGGCGCGGATGGTTCTCCGGCAACGTCAACAACAGACGGGCGGTACGACGCATCTTGGAGAGCGTCATGTTCACGCGCCAAATTTCACGCTTGCAGCGAAGGCCGTACTGGCCGCAGAGTTTCATCTCGCGGTCAAGGCGTTCCTTCTCAAACGGGCGGCGTGGCGCCTTCCAGACACGGTTGAAGTTGTTGTAGTTGCGCATAGTGCTGGATGCGAATGATAACCCTCCTCTTTCAAGTGAACATCGCGTAGACGGTTTTAAAAGACAAACCAAAAAGAAAAAAAAAAAGGAAAAAAAGAAAGAACAAATAAAAATAAAAAAATTTTTCTTCTTTTCGTTTCGTTTGGCTTCAACTCCCCCCGCCCCAGTTCCAAAGAAATAAATAATAATAAACAAGATGTGATGGAGCAATGCTGATGGGTGTTCGCCCGCACATAAAATCCGTCGTCGTCGTCTTTGTTGTTGTTGTTGTTTACTTTTCGTTGATGCCGCCCCTCTCACGAAACATTTGAAAAAAAAAAAAAAAAAAGAAGGGGGAAAAAAGGAGACTTGAACTCCTCTAATGCCCTCTGACTGGCGAAAAGCAAGCACCTCCACCCTTCCTTCGCATTCAGACGCGTGTATGCATGACACTGTATGTATTTGTATATATATATATTTGTATGTATTTTTGCAAGCCTGCATCGCCACTTTTAACTCTTTTTTTTTTTTTTTTTGTTTGTTTGTTGTTTTATTTTTCTTCCGCCTAACGTTTCGCCATCTTTTTTTTCTTTTTCTTTCCTTCCACCCTCCTCCTCCTCCTCCTCTCTCTCTCTCTCTTCGTCCTTTTACTCTTCTTCCTCCTCCGCCCCGGTTCTCCTCAAACCGACGCACGGAACGCGGACGTTTTACTTTCGAACAAACTTCATATAAAAGAGAATGATATCCATCACCAGCAACAGAAGCAGCACAAGCGCCTTCACTGCCCATTCCTTGTACACGCCTATGCGGATGTCACGAATGACTCGCCGGGCCCCGCTCAAATCCTCCCGCGTGCCATCCACGCTGGCCAGTGTGCGGCCAATTGTCTCCTTCTGTCGGCCTAACTGCTGCAGCGTCGCGTAGCCCGTCTCGTTTGTCGCCTCACTCATCCGCAACGCCCGTAACAAATTCGCATTCGTGTCGGCAGCCAACTGGCCGCTGCGCATGACGTTCGTGCGATCATCGCTGCCCGCCCCACCGCTCGTGTCATTGCCGGCATGATCGTCCTGCGACACCGCCTCCCACCCCCCTCTCTGCATCGCCAAGCAGACCCCCCGTTCCCTTCAGCTTGGTTGTTCCCTAACAATTTTCCCTCTCCCCCAATAAAAGACTGCAACAAAAGAGAAAAAAAAAAAAAAAAAAGTAGCAAAGAAATACGCACATGTGTGAAAAATAAATAAATAAACAACTAAATAAAGAGACCACACAAATGCACCAACACAAATACGCGGAAGGCATCAAAACAAAAAAAAAAAAAAGAAAAAAACAGCACCGGTAAACAGGTATAATAATGACACAAAAGATACAAAACATGCCTCTTTCTCTCTCTCTCACCGTATACATATATATATACATGCAGGTGCATATTTACAAATAGAAGTCCCTTTTTTTTGGGGGGGAGGGGGGCAAAAGATAAATCCAACGCCACCGAGAAGCGAGACAAACGAGAGCAGCACACATACGGACAATAAATAAAAAAAAAAAAAAAAATTTTGAACATGACAAGAACACAGTCTATTTGCTGCTTGCTTCAAGGCTTTGCTTGCAATAAAAAAAATAAAAATAAAAAGAAAAATAAAATGAAATAAAAAAGAATGAAAAAGCATTCATGCCGCCCATTTTGTGTGGTCCCTCTTGGCATCCAGCGGACATAAAAAAAAAAAAAAAAAAGACATGCATGCATGCATAACATATAAGGCGTCAAAAATAATAAATAAATAAATATAAATAAAAGAAGAAAAATGACTCTTACATTAAAAACCATAAAAAAAGAATTGAAAAAAAAAAAAAAAAAGCACATGGAAAAACCCACCAATGACGGAAGACAACTTAAAAAAAAAAAAAAAAAGAAACATCAAAGAAGTACGACTCCGTAGCAAAAAAAAAAAAAAAAAACAAGAGGGCTTTTTCTTCGTTCCTCATTTGTACATGTCCACACGTGTTTGTTTTGTTTTGTTTTTGTTTTTCTCTTTACTCGTGCCGCGGCCTTATTTTTTTTTCTTTTTTTTTTTTTTTTTCATTTGTTGTTGTTTATATAAACATCCCGTAAAAAATTGTCCCCTCCTCACACATATATGTATACACAGAGGAAAAGGAAAAGGAAACAATTGTTACTGCAGAACAACAAAAAGTATAAATGTATATATGACTTATATTACTTTTGTCTCAGTGATGCACTTGGGTGTTCAATTGGCGCGGACGGTGGTGCAGGTGTCATCATGAGTGAGGCCCGGAGACTTGGAAGCCTGGACTGAGGCCTATTCGAAAGACTCACCTTCCTCACACTAGGAGTCAGCCCTCTTAGTTGCGACTGGGTTATAGCTGGTGTCGTCTTTAACGTCTCACCTTCTGAAGAGGGGTTTGACAAAGCAAATAAAAATTTCTGCGGTACCGACTGCCCGGCCACTGTGCCAACTGTTCGGGCATCGCTATGGTTACTACTCATAGGCACAAGGTCTCTGGGTGCTGTGGAAATATGTTTGGGTTTTGTTTGGATTTTATCAGGTCGTTGCTTTCGCTCTGTCCCCACACCAACAGCAGAACCAGTGGCAGGGGTAAAAGCAGCGGTGGGGGCCACAGTCGTACGGTCCGGGTGGACCCTGGCGGGAATGACGGCTTTGAGCGAGTTGGTGTTAACAGGGCTGCGGGTTTCTCCCTTCTCTTGTGGTACAACCGTCGTGGTCCCAGAATTTGGCTGCGTTCTCTCAGGCATCGACTCTTCTGCCGACAGGACTCCAGTTAAAGGGGATTGTTTCTGTTGACTGCTAGCGGGAGGACAGACAAAACCATTGCCACACTTCGTGAAATGAAGTGGGGAAAATTTGCGGCTCACCGACAGACCCGCCATCAATTTTGTTGGTTTTGGAGAGGACTGCAGCAGCTCTTGAAGCGCCCGCAGCAAATTTGTGCTGCCGTCAAACCGGGAACTAAATGACTTGACTGTCAACTCCCCCAACACCTCTAATTGGGGCCATGATCGAAGATCTTCAAGGAAATTCTCCAACTCAGCATGTCTGCGGTCTGACATGCTGAGCGGATTATAATTTTCACCCACCCGCGACGTTTTAAGGCTATCAGTGTTGCTACGCGTACTGTTCAAATTCCCTCCTGTAGATGTGATGGAAAAAAACGTCACAAACTCATTGATAGTGATGTGCGATAATTCTCCTCCATCATCAATGTCAGTTATGGAATCTTTTGAGAGTCCGTGGAGCATGCAAGATGGAAATGACATCGAAGAATGCATATCTGACCGGGTATTCAAAAAAGCATCCAGAGAGCGCGCCATGGTCAATCGCCTTCCGCCAAGACGTATGGCGCTAAATATGGTTTTAGACTGCTCAGTTGTAAGTGGTTCCCGCATGCGCCGGCCCATGAGTTGTACGGCAACATTCAGTTGATCGAATGTAAGTTTTCCATCTCCGGTACGGTTAAGGTTTCTAAAATTTCTTCGCAGTGCACTCAGTGAGCCATAGTCAAACCCTTCATGCAGACGCAAAAGCGCAGGATAAATCCAAAGCGCATCCATAAAGCTCTCCTCCACAGTACTCATAAACGGTCGATTCGCGGCATGGCTTAAACCCGGACCCGAGTTCCTCTCATGTGTCCCCGTACTTTCCGGCGTACCGGCCGCGACAATTGGCAAAAGACGTGTTTTTTCATACAACGTTCCGTCGGACTCTTTCTCTTGGCCATTTACAACAAAAGCGTCGGCATTATTGCTCGGGGTAGCCATCTCCATGCCTGCATCCGCCTGCCTTTCGCCGCTTCCGTCCACGAGTGATGTCGTGACTGGTGACATGATGGGCGGAGTGGCGGCCCCTTTTCCCTTTGGCGGCTCGTCCCTCCATTTGTCCCCGAACGAGAAAGCAAACTCCGTGTCGAGCGAAATACTCGTTTCCAGCAACACGGCCCCCGCCTCTTCATCCACAAGAGTTGCCTCCACGAGATCAACAAGGTTGCCCAGCACCACGTGCCCGCACTCCTCCTGGTCAAGATACTGAAACAAGGCGTACATGGCATCATCCTCCAGGTTAGCCGCCACACGGGACTCTGAGCGAAGTATAGAGACAAGAAGATTGAAGTCAATCTTCAAAGAGCGCCACGCTTCAATAGGGCATGAAGAACCCTGTGACTGAGTCGCATGCGGCTCGGGGCTCTTCGAGGATGGCAACGACCTGCGCCTTGAAGCGCCGTGAGGAGATGCAAATGGTGTTACACCGCCCCTGCTGTACGCGGAAGTCACAGTCTGGCATTGCCCATGCAACGGAGAGGACGCCGTTGTTGCCTCGAAGACATCGGTGTTGTCCAGACGGCTAAGCAAATCGTCTGGTAAATCCATGTCCCCAAAGACGCGGCGCACACACGCCACCTGAAAAGGCAGTAAGTACTGTGACGAAAAAAGTGCGTCAAACCTCCGCAGGAAAGACATGTACCGCACACATGGCACCCCGTCCAATTCTTGTTGTGCAGCAAAAAACCTGCAGAGATAATACCAGGGAAGGTCAATTTCCAAAACACTCCGCATAACCCCACACCATTCTATCTTGTAGATGATGCCACTTTGACTATAATCAGCCGCAACAAAACCAGATAGTATAGCATACCGCCTCCGGAAGATAATCCCGGCTAATAACATAAGCACATTCAGGCGAGAATTTAATCTCCGCTCCACAGATGTATCACATGCCGCCGTGTTGTCGGCTTCCATATCATCTTTGCCCTTCTCTAAGCCGTTCCTTGTCATCTTTGCACCCTCACACTCTCTTTTTTTATCCGCAATCGCACTCGTTCGCTTTTCATCCGATTCCTCTAGCGGCCTCCCATCCATTGAATTCTCCTCCTTTTCGGTGGTATCACCACTGTCGCCAACAGAAGGTATGATTTCATGCAGAAACTCTTTTGCTGTATACAAGTCTGTATCAAGCTCATCATTTTGTACATACCACGTGTGGAAAACAGGATGCAGAGAACCCTTTGAAAATACAGCTATCGCTCCACGGTTGCCCGCGACGCCGCAGTAATTCGATGCACTAAAAACTGTACAGCACTTGCCATTATGGATGAGCTCAAACCCCGCCTGCACCTCCTCGTGCGAGCGAACCAAAAGCCGAATATTATTCTGTCGGAGAAACTCCTCCGTGAGGGGTGCAAGATACTCCACTCCGCATCCGCGTTTACTTGTGCGCCAGTGCTCGGCCTGGTGTCGCAGACCCAACTTCCGTGAGTGAAACTTTTCCACCGGATCGTTCCAGAGTATATCTACAAAAATCTGCTCATCTTCTGTAATATCCCCTGCTGTGGGGATGTGTCGCATACGACCCAGCGATTCAATGCGCTCAAGCGTCACTGGAACCCGCGGCACTCCACCGTGGACAACAAGAATCATCCCGTCCAGGAGTGTCATCAGCGGCATTGCCTCATAACTGTCAACAATCAGCTCCAGAAGCCGCTTCGCATCCTCCATTCCGTACTTGCCGCACACCTCCGTCTCGAAGCCGTATTCGGCATTGACGCGTGTGTCCTCGTGGTTCCCGCGGTTAATAAAAACAAACGTCGGAAAGGCACAAAGAAGGGCAAAAATATACAAAATGACTCCCATGCCATTCGACCCACGATCCACAAAATCCCCGTTGAAAACTAAATAGCGGCGCGGGTTCGGCAACCCACCGGTGAGCATTATTGCCTCACAAAGGTCTTTCATCTGTCCGTGTAGGTCCCCAATCACCACAGCAGCGCCGTCCTCAGGTATCGTCACGCGCTGCACAAGCGGGCGGGCAGCCAGAATACCGACGGCCATGGATACAATTCGCTTCGCCGCTGCAAACTCCACCACCTCTCCAGATGTGATCGTCTTGGCTAAAGCCTCAAATCTTGAAGCGGAAATGCATCCGATCATAGGTGCCGCATAATTCATGAGACGATGCGACGACGTTGATTTTGGATTATCGCCATGAACAGCAAGTTGCACCTTGGTTGCCTGCTTCTCGCGGTACAACTCCACGGCCCGCCATACAAACTTGAATGAGAGCTCTTGAAA